CTTATGGTTTTGGAATGCAGTCCTGAGTAGGATTAGCAATCCCGAACCAAAATTTCAAACCCGGTATTTCAGGATTCTGTTTACCAAATCCCGAGGATCCTGGGATTTCGGGATTGATGTCTAAATGGTTGAAATTGATTCCAGGTACATACATTACTAAATTATAAAAGTTGACATATATATATATATATATACAGTGTGTCCACCTTAAGGACTTACCACCCCTGTAAAATTGTTATTATCTGAACGATTTCAAAAAACTTTTTTTTGTTGGATAGGTATTTGAAATGTCCATCCAACAAGAGAGTGATTTTACCCATGAACTGTAATCGTGGCCAACTGCGACCAACTTTATTGACCCATATTTGAGAAAGTACTATTAGGGATTTTTTTCTACAAAAAACAATGATGGATTCTGAATCACGATCACTTGAAAAACACCTTTACTGATTTTTATCATCATAAAACACAGGGTGTCCGAAAAAACGAATTATGTATTTTTTTTAATAGGTGATCAGAAAATGTAGTATTGTGGTATTTTTGAGAAGGATTGATGACACATTATTATTGAGGATCGCTTTGAACATATCTGTACCGATTTTCATCATTCAAAAATACGATGTGTATGAGAAAACAATTAAAAAGAAAAAGTTGGCAATATTTTTTCATCAACTCAAAAAATACATTAATTTGATTTTTCGAACACCCTGTTTTTAATGATGATGAAAATCGGTACAGGTAAGTTCCAAGTGATCCTGATTCATCTTTTTATTTTGAGTGAAGAATTATCAGGATGAAAAATATTGCTTACCTATCCTTTTTAATTTTTTTCACAGACACATTGTATATTCAAATGATGAAAATTGGTATAGGTATATTTGAAATAACCCTCAATGATAATTTGTGATTATTTCTTTCTAGAAAAACCACAGAACTACATTTGCTGATCACCTATTTGAAGAAAATGATGATTCGTTTTTTCGAACACCCTGTGTTTTATGATGATGAAAATCGGTACAGGTATATTTCAAGTGGTACTGATTCAGAATCCATCATCAAGTTTCGTGGAAAAAAATCCATAATAGTACTTTCTGGAATATGGGTCATTGAAATTTGTCGCAGTTGGCCACGATAACAGTCCAAGAATTAGATCACTCTCTCGTTGGATGGGCATTTCAAATACCTATCCAACAAAAAAAGGTTTTTTGAAATTGGTCGGATAATAACGATTTTACAGGGGTGGTAAGTCCTTAAGGTGGACACACTGTATATTCTTTATTCAACAAACAGATATAGGGAATGCAAAATAACGACAAATGCAGCAAAACAGCAAAAGTATCACAAAAAAATGAATTCCCTAGTAAGTCAGAAACAAATACGATAACAAAAACAAAATCTTTGGAGAAATTTCAACAAGAATAAAATGTAGCGTTTATAAGATTATTATTATTACGTAAGTAATATGTGTCCTCATTTCGAATCGAATGACTGAATCAGTAGAGCAATAAAATAACAGTTCAGTACAATCCCGAAAACACGAGATCGGAAATTTCGGGATTGCAGGGATCGAAATTTTGTCGGGATCCCGAGATTAACGGACTCGGGATTTCGGGATTGCAAACCCTAGTCCTGATTATGTGTTCACAGATTATGAAAGCTTTATTCATTCTGAATACAACCATGTACCTATTATAAAACATAATTTGAATGTTCAATTATGTTAGTGTTAGTTTCAATCAGTTAGTGTTGAATTTCATACTGAAAGATAAAAAAAAATAATAATTTATTCACCGCATCAATTTGTTTTATATTAATATGGATTACCTCAATTACCATAATAACCAACCTTTGTCAACAGGAACAGTAAATGAGAGCAATAACGTTCATAAGATATGTTGATAAGCTGATGATGGATCTACGATTACAAAACGCCACGTAAAATCTCATCAAAATTTGCTATGGAAAAGTCGAGGAGAAAGTATTTTCAGATTTCTTGTATCTCTAATAATAACTTAAAAAAAATTGATTTTCCAAAAATTTACGTTTTTTGACATAACTGAAAAACTATGAATAATTTCGAAAGCTATATCAAAGGGTGTTAGAATGATCTTCTGAATAAGAATTTTATTCGGAATTTTATTACCATTTAACCCGTGATTTAATCAAATGCGTATCTCCCACCGTTTCCGAGACCCCCCTCCCCTATCAAGTTATGCAACCTCATCCAGGCCACACTGAATTTTACGAAAATCAAGATAAAGTCTTGTATTTCAGTTAAGAAGACTGTAGGCGTGGACCTCGATGTAGACACATCAATGGGGGATAATTTGGAACCACCAAAGTGTTCTCTATTCAGGTATAGTTTGTAAATTCGAATTTGAAACAACCTGTATATTTTTCCCATTCAAGATCTGGATTCATTGGCAGTTTTGGTGTTATTTCAATTTCGTGATTTCCCGAGTGATTTCCAATTCAGTCTAAGTATGTGTTTTTGAAAAATTTGTCAAAAAATGGAAAACTTTTTTGTCAATTTTAGGAAAAAAGTTATTCTACATAAATATGTATGCAATGCTTAGAAGCAAAACAGCCGATATCAGATATCAATTTTTTAGTCGTATACGAGGTACTAGACGAGGTAGGTATGTCAAAATCCGAGTCAAAATCAGTATATTAATTTTGCTCGAGAGTTGAGTACCTTTATTTTCGAGTTTATTTTCGACAATATCGAAAAATGTTATGAAGAAAAGTTGACTAGAACTGAAAACTACGTTAATTTCTAGATTAAATTTTCATAAAAAGTACCGAGAATGCAAATATCAGATATCAAATTGATTCAGTGGTATACTAGGTACCTAGGTATTTCAAAAAATATTAATTCTGCTCAAGAGTATAAAGTAGGGCTGCGCAAAAATATCGATATATCGATATGTATCGATATATATCGATATATCGAATAACGATACCATAGAAAAAAAATATCGATATATCGATACATATCGATATATATCGATAAATATCGATACATAACGATATACAACAAACAAACCATAGGTATTATTATTGTGTGTAAGTTTGTACAATCTCATAATATCAAATATCTGGTGAGAATTTAGGATGTTTTGTAATGTGAAAATTTTAATACAGTTCTACAGCAAGATAATATATCGATACATATCGATATGTATCGATATACAGTGTGTCCAAAATTGTTAATGAGTGTACTTGCTATCCCAGTGTTTCTTTATTTGTTTTTCATTAAACTGTCTAATTTTCGTAATTGGCAATAATTTTATAAGATGTAAGAGAATCCACTTGAATATCTTCATCATTAACTTCCGACGACGAGAACGAAAGAACCTACTACTATACTTTTAATCATATCAGCAAACGTTTTCTAAATGACATAACACCATCTTTGGACAACTCGATGTCATTCACAAAATCCTCACATCATTAGACGTGCAAAAATTAGGAAAATAATCCATAGATCTAGACAAGGTATTCAACACAATATTAGCCATTCTAAACAAATATTGTATTTTCAATATTCCAATGAATGTATTTGCTAGGTTTTTTCCATTATCTCATGATTGTGTGTACCTGTGTAGAGTGTGTGTACTTGTGTAGTGTACTGTGTACACCTGAGGTGTACAGTGTACACTGTACGTGTACACTGTGTACTGTGTATATCGATAAATAGGTACATATTGTTATATCGATATATATCAATATATATCGACCTGCATATCGATATATCGATATATATCGATACATATCGATATATTACATACATATCGATATATCGATACATATCGATACATATCGATATATCGATACATATCGATATATCGATACATATCGATATATCGATATATATCGATACATATCGATATATATCGATACATATCGATACATATCGATATATCGATAGATATCGATACCAAATAGTGCATCGATATCGATATCCAGTTTTCAATATCGCACAGCCCTAGTATAAAGTACCTACCTTTATTTTTCAAATATGAAAAAATAAGTTATTTGAAAAACTTGTTTCTGGTGACATTTTCATGAAAAATTACTTATTTTCGTGAAATTTAACTAAAAAGTTTTCTACATGTATCGATCTTGAAGAAATATTAAAAATTAATAGAATATTATTTTCATGGCAGATATATGTAATCAAATATTTGAATGGAATTTTAAATTCTAGTCAACTTTTCTCAAAAACAATTTTCGATAATGTCGAAAATCAGGTACTCTTCTCTTGAGCAAAATTAATATTTTTCTTGTTATTTTTTGACATAGGTAGGTACCTCGTATACAACTGAAAAAATATTATATCTGATATTTCCATTTCTGCTTTTAGGCTTTGCAGAATTTTTTTATAGATAATTACTGTCTTTCCTAAAATTAACAATAAAATAGTTTTCCATCTGTTGCCAACTTTTTCAGACATGCTGTATGGGTATGACCAGGAAATTGAATCTTTGAGAAATTAGGTGACTAATAGTAATTTTCCAGGTAATTTTTCAACTTTTAGCGGTAGATACCAAGGTACTCATTATCATATTAATTACTCCTATCAGAGGAATCTATCAAGTATCGACTTTTGGGCAGGTGAAATTAATTTGGTCGGACCAGACGCGGGCAAAATATGTGATACAAAATACAATGCTTCGGCTCGTCCACTTTTTGCGTGTAATTATAAAAGTACAGTCCGTCCTAAAGAACGAGCATCTCGCAGTTGTCATAGCGACGCGCTCTGATCGCGTACAGTTGCGGCATGATTTTGTGAAACAAACCCGTGGTGGTGAGGCGGTGGGTGACAAGACAGGTACAGTCGGGGCATATCGATCGCCTAATCAAGAATTTTGCCCCTCTACTCATTTAGAATGCGTGAAAGCCAAGAGAGAAATAAAATAATTGAATCCGCCGCCGCGGCCGTCGCCATCCCAACTGAATATTTCAGGCTGAAAATTCATATTTTTCATTTTACTCACATTGGTGTTTGTCAGCGAGCTGGATCAGCTGGCTAGGCAAATCTCTTCTCCGGTAAAAACACATTACCTTCGCTTCAACGTTACCCGACGCTGTTTTGTTTAATTCTTCGATACGGCGGATTTGATAGGGCGACGTTGAAGACGTCTCAAAATAGACGTAATCTGGAAAGAACGGGAATGAAAAATAAACAATGATATATCAACATTGCGATTTGGAACAACTCATACCTAATTGATAATGCAAAGTTATCTCACTTTTGTAGTTATACCTACCTAAACTGTTCACCGATAAGAGGATAAGAAGTAATTTATTTTGTTAAATAAAAAAACCTACAAAACTGATTTCAATTTTGATTAGGTACCTAAATTTTTTTGTTGTAGGAAGTTCCCACCTTCCCAAATAAAAAAAGTACTCGGTAGGTAGGTACATAAACAATAATGAATAACGTAATAATTGAAATTTGAAATTTCAAGTCCTACTAGTTGCTCTTTGGTATACAATATCATAAAATTTGTTATCTAATGTAACTTGGGACTTCAGGTAAAGGTAGTTGATGCGAAAAATTTTATGATAATTCCGATTTGAATAAATAAAATAAATTGAACATTCTGGGTTCTTATTTTTTATCAGAAGATCGTGAAATTAATCACAAAGACCTCGAGTTGACATTTCGAATGCACAGCAACCTATATAATTAAATAAATTCATTGCATTGAGGAAATCAAATTTATAGGAAATGAAAACCATAATTAATGAAGAGGACATAGACAAGCAGAACGTAATCGTCACCGAAGGAAGACTTCCTTGTGTGTGAATTGTGTGAAGCCGGCCTGATTAAAAACAAGCTGGGGTACTAACCTCCGACTCGATACATATTCGCCGTCATCTTCACAACACAAAAATGTAACCCTTTAAATCACAACACTACATTAGAAAAACATTACAGAATAAATTTCGTAGATTTCAATGTTTACATCACTACACGTAATGCCACCACCAAGCTCCCGGACGCCATTTTCTCGAAATTGGCCATAAAATCATAAAACAAAACACGGAACAATTGGTTCAGTACTTGACAGTCTAGGTCTGAACCCTGTCATTTGTCATAATTAACTGAGAACGTGAAGAACACCATAATAGCCATTTTTCCTCGAAGTTTACCACACGAACCGGGTCAACAATAAGTTAACCAATAAATTTTCCTCGAAATGTATTCCAAACTACGACGTAATAGTTCACCAACCACACAAACCAGCTCACTGAGATAGTTCACGGAGCACTTAAGGCTTTTGATTGGCCATTGGATTATGGGCTCTTGTTGTTGTTGTTATAATCTGAGATTATATAATTGTTAAGAAAAAATAATTATACTTCCTAACGAGATAATTATGAATTCAAACGAAGTATTCTCAATCAGAGATCTCATCATAATGATGAAAATAAATATTTGATTCATTGGAAATATTAGTACAGAGCAGCGAATCGTTCAAATTTTCTTGAATTTGTAGTAGGTAAGTACCATTGATTATGAATACTCAATGTAAGTACCTAGTTCCTATCTTTGATATATTTTTTTCACAGATGATGAATTTCTTATTCAATATATAAGTATTACTTCTAAAACCAAACAATGAACAAAACCGGCTAATAAACTGACATCTGTCAAGCTTCGAAAGTAAACGTGACGTCATCATAAAGTTAACCTGGTTTGTCTGGTTAGATTCGCTGTGGGAAGAATGACTCTAATTTGTCTAATATGTACCATTTTTTCTCGAACTCCATTATGGCAACACGGTTTTTCGTGAAGCTTGACAGATGTTAATTTGTCAATTGTTTTTGTTTCCTTTAGGCCTGTTCGTTTGTATTGCTAAACTTGCTAAAGTTGATTTTTTTTCCATAGTTGTCTCTGTTCATGACATGATGTAAACAGAGAAAGTCATAGAAAAAAATCAAGTTCAGCAGGTTGAGCAAGCACAAACGAACAGGCCTTTTAATACGCGGGTGTGATAGTGTGATACGTACAAGTAATATATCAAATGGAATACTCATTATCAGTAACAAAACTATATCATAGATGGGAAATTGATAGGAACTAGGTACTTGATGAAGTAAATATTTCTTTCTCGTCAATAATATAATAACATCTTCCTTTAAAAAATATTTCGTATAAATTCATAATTATCTCATCAAAAAGTGTAATTTTTTATATCAATTATATCGTTAGAATTATTACAACAACAAAGACAAGAGTCCAAATGCCCCAATCAAACTGCTCCGTGAACTACCTCCTACCTCAGTTACTATTACGTCATAGTTTGGAATATACTTCGAGGAAAATTGACCCGGTATTTGTGGTTAACTTCGAGTTCATTGAGGAAAAATGGCTCTCATAGTACACTTTGGCGCGACGGCAACACTGTAAGTAAGTCAGTGTCAAGTCACTCAAGTCAGTCGTCAGTGTGGCAGGTGGCATTTTGTGGTCAATGCTTTTGCTTTTATGTTATGTGAATGATTTTTGGTTTAGTGGTTTTGATCTTTTGATTTTTGATTTGATATTTGATAGAACTTCCGTGCGACTGCGACGCAAGGTTTGTAGTCTGTATAAAGTTATAAAGAAAGATGATTAGTGAATACTTTTTCTGGATCTCTTGTTGTGGCATGCCTCAAGTTTTGTAAAATTTGTAGAAACGCTACGAAGAAACAAGTTGAATTGTTGCTAGAGTGGCAAATATTTATTATTTGGTGAAGGGCACTCATGAGGAAGTAATTTGTTGCTGTAAGTACCCACAAAACATTATATTATCATCAATATACACCATCATCATAGTTTAGAAAACATATATTTTGAAACCAAATATAAATCGTAAGTGAGGATTAATGAGGGGAAATTGGGATACCATTTTTTCTACAAATAAATTATGGAGGAGTCAGAATAGGCAGAGTAATAAAATAGGCTGTATTTATCACCATAATGATGTTTATTACCAAGATGTCTATTTAAATCAACAGTACACAATTTATGTTTTTACATGAATGAAATTGTTTATGAATTTGATAATTGGCTGCTACACACAAAAGAAACTAATTTATAGGTTTTCTGACTTGTTCCATAATCAATGGAAATGAGATATTCCCTCCTTGCAGGTTTTGCAGTGTTTCCCATTGAATCATCCTGTACACTTCTAAAGGCTGGAGGGGCAGAAGGTGCCTTTACTTTCTTCCTTGGATCCTCAAAGTGCAAATTTGGTTCTATCAGGATCCAGCCTTGAAATGGATGATAGTGGTAAACGGCAAGCCACTAGGGTCTTCAAAAAAAGCTCTCCAAATGGAAAAATAACTGTGTACTTAGGTAAAAGAGATTTTGTAGATCACATATCACATGTTGATCCAATAGATGGGGTAGTATTAATTGATCCTGATTATGTTAAAGATAGGAGGGTTTTTGGTCATGTATTAGCTGCATTTAGGTATGGCAGAGAAGACCTGGATGTTTTAGGTCTGACATTTAGAAAGGATTTGTACTTAGCTGCTGAACAGATTTTTCCACAGGATAGTGCACAAAACAAACAACCTCTAACAAGACTGCAAGAAAGATTGATAAAAAAATTGGGATCAAATGCATTTCCATTTTACTTTGAGTTACCACCACACTGTCCAGCATCAGTTACTTTACAGCCAGCTCCTGGAGATACAGGGAAACCTTGTGGCATAGATTATGAACTCAAAGCATTTGTTGGTGAAAGCCAAGATGATAAACCCCACAAAAGAAATTCAGTAAGGTTGGCTATAAGAAAAATTATGTATGCCCCTAGCAAACAAGGAGAACAGCCGTCCGTTGAAGTCAGTAAAGAATTTATGATGAGCCCTAACAAATTATATTTAGAAGCATCTCTTGACAAGAAACTCTATCACCATGGAGAAAATATTGCTGTTAATGTCCATATAGCAAATAACTCTAATCGTACAGTGAAAAAGATCAAGGTATCTGTGAGACAATTTGCAGATATTTGTCTCTTTTCTACAGCACAATACAAATGCACAGTTGCAGAAACAGAAAGTGAAGAAGGCTGTCCTATTGGACCTGGTTTCACTTTAAGCAAAGTTTTTACACTTACTCCACTATTGGCCAATAACAAAGATAAATGGGGCCTTGCACTTGATGGTCAATTGAAACATGAAGACACCAATTTGGCATCCAGCACTCTGGTTGCAGATTCATCACAACGAGAAAATTTGGGAATAATCGTCCAGTATAAGGTTAAGGTTAAATTATGCCTAGGAGCATTAGGGGGAGATCTGGTGGCTGAACTTCCCTTTATTCTAATGCATCCTAAACCAGAGGAAGAGGTGCTACCTCCTCCTACCCCTTCTAGGCGTGTGAGTGAAGATGTCCGAAATGATGTTCCAGTTGATACCAATCTCATTCAACTAGATGCTGATGAAAACAGTCTCCAAGATCATGATGATGATATCATCTTCGAGGACTTCGCCCGACTTAGGTTGAAAGGAGGAGAGACTGATGCATGAAAACGGGTACTTATGAAGGCAATTGAACCAGCCTGTCAATTTGTACCCATGCGTACTGATGTGTATATCAGCTGCGAATAGGTATCTATATGTACCTAGTAACTCAGTGTGTGTGCCCTAGTCATCGGCTATGCTTGAAGCCACAACCAGAATGCACTTATTGTACGTTTAAACATGTTCCCTTCTTAATTTTTATGTATGTTCTAATATATCAGTAATTATTTATTAAATTTTAACAATAAATTTTAACAGTACCTACTTGGAAAAATCTATAAAGCTTTTAAAAAATAAATGTCAATTCAATAATACTTCTGCTCTGAAGTATTGGTAAATGTTTTGAGAGATGTGATTTGTTTGTTTAATAGTTATCCCTCCTTTCAAGTCCTAACCTATCACTAACACTGTTTCATGATCATAAGTATAATGTCTTATGGTATATCATATGTACAGGGTGTTAATGAATAAGAGTGAAAACATTCAGGAGGCCTCCTCATATTTCAGGAAATAAAGTTCATATAAACATGTTCCTGTTCTTGCTTCATTTTTGCCATACAGGATGTTGAACTTGTCTTGAAAGCCACCAATATTGAAATTTGGTGTCAAATCAAATTGTTATAACTTTCTCAAAAATTGAGAAATATAAAAAGTAATATAATATGATACAAGAAAATTGTATTCTCAATCATTGTTCAATCTAATAAAAATGTTCAAGTAATTTATAAAAAACAAAGCAAGTTGGGACAAATGTTTATATGAATTATTTTTTTAGAATATGATGAAGAATTACTCCCAGAATTTTTTCACACCTATTCATTAATGTTCACACTTATACCACAGGACTGGAGTGGACCATTCAATATGAGTGAACTTGATTCTGAGGGCTATACCAGTGCTGTCTCTTTAGTTCCATGGTATATGTACAGGGTGATTGTTTATATTTCACTCAATAGCTATCTCAGTTAATATTGGTCTTACAGAAACGTTAAAATTGGCAAACATGAAGTATTTTTATGTGCCTTTCAGAGTCGATTACTAGAAAATACAAAAAAGCATAGTAAACGTAAAAATTCTACATAAACTGTTATTTTTAAATGGAATACCCTGTATTTTATATTCCTAAACGGTAGATCTCTTTCTTCTGACTTCAAATATATAATTTCTTTGTTGAGGTTTTCTTTTGTCAGTTTTTGGAAAATATAGATTTTTTGGTGTAGAACGCCAGACGACAATGCTGTGATTTCTTCAAAAATACAGGGTGTTCCACGTTTGAGTTATTACGTCTGCGTATATTGTTCAGTTTTGGTAATATCAATGAGAGGTTTTGTATACAGGGCGTCTGTTAAATTCAGTGCTCTCGTAAAATGGGGTCGCCGATATAAATATACCGATGACGAAATTTCTCCTACACAAATCATTCTGTATGTATTGATTGAATTTGACAGAATGGTCGAATAAAAATGAAATTCTACGGCTTCGAGCGTTCTTTCAGAACATTATTACAACGAATTTATCCACAACTTAACAAAACCACCTAATTTGAAGGACGCACTGCATACAAACTATGTCTAATATATTTTTAAATTCGACTTTTCATTGGAATTCCAAGAGCCGAATGATTAATAGGGTGTTTCATTTGAAAAAATTGTCGCGGACGTCATCACTCAAACGTGAGTATGTATGTTCAAATTTTCTTTATAAAGTTGGGAAATTGAAAATTATAATCGACCTCTTTCACGAGATTCCTTAGAAATGAATAGTTTGGCTATAAATGAATTCACTACACTGTTTTGCCACCAACCAAACCGATTTTTTAAACGCCTCGACACGTGTTTCGCTAACTATGTTAGCATCTTCAGTAGCAGATCATTTCTAATCTTCTACTGAAGATGCTAACATAGTTAGCAAAACACGTGTCGAGGCGCTTGAAAAATCGGTTTAGTTAGTGGTACAAAAGTGTAGTGTATTATCGTGCCACGACTTAGTGGGAGCACTCAATTTAACGGACACAGTGTAATCAAACCCTATGTGTAATATATTTTTTAATTCTGATTTTTATGGAGATTTCAAATATTGAATAAAATATAGGTTCTATTTGAATACACTTTCACGGGCGTCTCAACTCAAACGAGGACTTTTATTGATAAATATGTGGCAAATTGAAAATAAAACGGGCGCAGTTACCTACAGTTCATTTCTTCACAAATTTTATCAAGAAAAACTGTCTCTTTTTGATTAGGTATGCCGAAATGTCGGTGTTTACGGGAAAAATGACGTCAATTTAGTTTCCAAATATGGATAAATATCCAAACGGCCCAAAATAGATTCAATCTGAACCTCTGTTTTCATCACTCAAACTGGACTTCATTCAGGAGAACCATCCAGCAGCTGAAATCATAATCATGGGAGACCCCAATGTACACAACGCAGGCTGGCCAACTGAGGCCTTCACCATCACTCATGGTCTAGAACAACTAGTCGAACTACCAACCCGCATTCCAGATGTCAACAACCAGTCTGCCAATACACTAGATCTTTTTCTCACCAGCAATCCTGATCCATATAGAATAGAAGTTTGTGCCCCACTTGGAAACTCTGACCACACCCTCATCTCCACAACCTGCCAAAATAAGATCAAAACCTGTTGAATGTCCTAACGGATCCCGTTCATTTTGATCCTTCGCCAAAGCTGTGGGAAGAAACTTCACTTCCAGCTCGTTTCCTCCGCTAACCAAGTAAGATGGAACACTAGCCACAACTGCCCAGGAGAATGCCAACATTTTTGCGCATTTATTTGAAGATGGAACACTTGCCACAACTGCCCAGGAGAATGCCAACATTTTTGCGCATTTATTTGCTGGAAATTCCACTCTGGATTCATCGGAAAAACAACCTCAAAACTTAACGTCAATTGACAGTCATATATGCCCGAGATCACCTTTCGCCAACCGCGCCAACGTACTATAAGGAAGATTTTATTCGGTCTCAACACCAACAAAGCTCATGGCTTCGACGGAATCCCACTGATTGTTCTCAAGAAATGTGCTCCCGAACTAACACCTGTTCTCTGCAAGTTGTTCAACTATTCTTACAAATTGGGGATATTCCCGTCCGACTGAAAAATTGCAAGAGTACAAACAGTTCCTAAAAAAGGCAAAAAAAAACCTACCTAGCAACTACAGACCGATCGCAATGCTATCTATTATTTCAAAGATCATGGAGAAAGCTATCAACATCGAGCTCATGAAATACCTGGAACATTCAGGTATTATCAACGATAGACAATATGGCTTCCGTCCTCAGAGATCAACTGGTGACCTGCTCGCTTACGTCTCACGTATATTATGGCAGCAATCTATTGGAAAATATGGTGAAACCTTAGCCGTGGCACTTGATATCTCCAAGGCATTCGATCGAGTCTGGCACCACGGACTCCTCGCCAAGCTTCCATCTTATGGCTTGCCTCCCCAGCTATGTTCTCTGCTAGCTAGTTTTCTCTCAAACAGGTCTCTCCATGTAGTTGTCGACGGAGTTTCATCTGACCCTCTTATCATAAATGCTGGTGTTCCGCAAGGATCAATTCTAGCACCAACACTATCTCTACTCCATATCAACGATTTGTTGGAAGCAACTTCATATCCAGTACACAGCTTCACGGATGATAGTACCCTCCATACCGCCTTCTCTTCCAGGGCTCCAATACCAGCCAGGCAAATCAGAAACGAACGAGGAAGATATGTTGACAACATAAATATGGACTTGGCAACAATTCTCGAATGGGGATCCAATAACTTGGTAGATTTCAATGCAAACAAAACACACGCATGCCTTTTCTCAATAGAAGCCGACCTCACTGTGCCCAACATAAACTTGTCAGGAGTAACCATACCTTTGAAGACATCCATTTCGATGCTTGGTATTACTATCAGCAATAACCTTTCTTGGGAGAATCACGTGAGATTAATTGCTAAAAGTGCATCCCAAAAACTTGGTTTTCTGTTTCGGGCAGGAGCTATTTCACTTCCAGTCAGCTGCTCATGATCTATAAGACACAGATCCGACCTGTCCTGGAATACTGTTCCCATATTTGGATTGCAGCACCCAAAGATACCCTGAAACTGTGAAAGGGCAATTCGTCTCGTGGGTGATGCCTCGCTCACAAACTCACTCAATTCTCTGGAACACCGTAGAAAAGTTGGCGATCTGGGTCTATTTTATAGATATTTTTTATGGACGATGCTCTTCTGAAATATCAACAATTGTTCCTCTCTTGGCAGTCCCCACGAGATTAACCCATCGAGTTGAGGCTTCGCACCCCTTCGTGGTCACTTTGGAGACCCGCAGAACATCTCTTTCCAAAGACTCGTTCATCCAACGAACAGCGAGGCTCTGGAACACATTGCCAAGGGAGTTGTTCCCCGAGGCATATAACCTCCAGAAATTCAAGAAGAACACCAATTCCTACTATATTTCCATTGGTTCTCACGATGTTCTCTGAACATTACAGGATATCCTTTTTCGTGGGAACCAGAACATAAAAAAAAATTCTTGCTATCGTTTTTTTTCTATTTTTATAATAGAACTGAGGCGTGGAAGTTTGCTCATCCTATTGTGTTTGTGGTTCAATCTCGAACGCGTAAACCTGTTCGAAACCATTAAAAAACGTTTTTGAATGTACAGGGTATTTATTATTCAAGTATGTGGCCAAAATTTAAGGGTTGATTATTTGAGTGGAGAAATGCTTCGTTTTCAAGATATCAGGGTATCAGAGTTTCAATAAGAAATCGTTTTTTCATTAATTATTCGAAATTATGTTTTCCAATTTCAATGAAACTGGAGGATTTTGATGACAGTATCAAGAAGCTTTTTTGTTGTAATTAGATTCGAACTAATGATTCCAGTGGCGTCGCAGTGGGTTACCTTTTAGATATTTTTGGTAAATAAGATAGCTATGTCATAGTTTTTTCCAAGTTCAGTAGATTTAACAATTGAAAATACAACATTCTTGTCCTCTTTAAAATTTTTGTATATCACTTATTTTCTAAGGAAATAATGAAACATGTATTTGATTCCAAATTTCAATGTAGGTGACCTCACCCGTTGAGATTACCCTTAACGTCAATAGGTATTATTCTGGAAATCCAAGACTTTTTAGTAACCAACCAGACTAAATTTTGTTGAATGAATGAATGAATGAAAGCTTATATAGGGTAATCATGAAAAACAACAATCATTACTTCAACACCCTGTATCGTGAAAACGAAGCATTTCAGACCCATGTTTATATCTTTTAGTATTCACCTAGTGCATGAAATCAAGGGTTTATATGAACTTTTCGTCTTAGAATCACT